GCCTGACCTCGGCAGCTCCTCACAGGCTCCGAGTCGTTCTGGGACGAGGACTCTGGTTTGATGTTCGGTATGGAGGGTGTGGAGGGCACGCTGTGGGACATTTTCTTCATGTGCTGGATTACAGAGGCTGCATTGAAGGCTTGCTGTTGGAGATCCACAGAGTGAGCAGTTAGTACTGGTGCAGCCTGCATCTTGTATAGAAAAACATCTCGTATAGGAAAAGTGTCTTTTAGAGTTTAGACTCCTGCTGGAACAGAACATGTGTTCATATATCCATTATTTCAGAAACCATGGCCTGTACGTCTATAGAGGTGGAACAGGTACCCAGACATATTGTTTTTGCTTTCTCAGACGGCATAAGTCCTTTGTTTTAGTATTCCTCTGTCCTCTTTAACTTGAACTACTTATTGATAGAATTATATTGAATTCTATCAATATTAAAATGTCTTAATGGACTCCTTATAGCAGATGTTTTATGGATTAACATGTTTGTGTTAATACATGTGAATGGCAGTTGAAGGGGATTCTCTATCAACAGGAAAAGCAGTAAAACTTATGAAAATATTACAATTTATGCACAGAGTCGTCCAATGGGCTGCACTGGAGTCTCTGCTGGGCCGATTCTGGGCCCCCAGCCCGGTGTTTGACACCGTATGTAGTCACACTTGTAACCTTTCCAGTCATTAGCCATTACCTTCCATTTGGATGTGGCAAAGTTTCTCTCCAACTGTTCACACACAGACTGATAAATGTCCTGGTCTCTGGCTGTGTCTCCAACAATCCTGCGAGGGGAACACGAGCAGACGTTAGCTTCTTGGGTATTTGGACAACGCTGCGTCTGTACCATCATCGGGCAGATAGAGCTAGTCTTTGTTCCACATTCTCCGAGGCTCAAAAGACAAACAAACATAATGTGTTGTCTCTTAACCGAGGTCTGTCTTCTGTCTTTCACGCCTTTGTCTTGCATAGCTGCCCATAACTTTCCTTCTCTTTAAGAATGATTGTTGATTTGGCCAATCATACAATGTTTCTCCCTTATTTTGGTTTTTCATCCTGCTGACAACCTCCTTGCCTCCTTCAGTGAACCTCAACAATAGTTGAAGACTTGGACTGAACCCCAGATATTAGACCAGATCAGTTTCTCACGTGTCCACGAAGCTGCTTCTAATCAACTAACCAATTACTTTTGAGTCAGAAAAAGACTGTAATTCATAAACAGTTGATACTTTTCTTCATAAATCAAGCAGACGGCTATCTTCAGTCACATGTTGATTATGTGGTTTAAATGTGTAATCATTGTCCAAACATTATGACATGTAAGAGGCAAAGCACTAACCAGGGGTGCCTGAGCGCCTGTTCAGTGGTGAAGCGTTTCGTGGGGTTTTTCTCCATCATGTTCTTGATGAACTCTTTGGCTGTTGACACATAACATGGACAGA